AGAGGACCCAAATAAATAATACCAGAAATGAAAAAGGAGAAATAACAACTGATACCACAGAAACACAAAGGATTGTAAGAAATTGCTATGAGCAATCATATGCCAAAATATTTGAAAACCTTGATGAAATGGACAAATTTCTAGAAAAGTAAAACCTTCCAACACTGAATGAAGAAGAAGCAAAAAGCCAGAACAGACCGAAAACAGCTGGTAAAATTGAAGCAGTAATCAGAGAACTCCCGGTACACAAAATCCTGAGCCAGACAGTTTTACAGGAGAGTTTTACAAAACATTTAAGAAAGAGCTAACTACTGTCCTTCACAGACTATTCCAAAAAATCCAAGAAGAAGGAAGACTCCCAAACTCTTTTAATGAGGCCAGCAGCATCACAATCGCAAAAACAGATAAAGACACAAGCAGGAAAGAAAACTGCAGGCCAATATCACTGATGAACACAGACACTAAAATGCTCAACAAAATATTGGCAAACCACATCCAGCAATACATTAAAAAGATCATCCACCATGATCAAGTGGGATTCATCCCAGGGATGCAAGGATGGTTCGATATTCACAAATCAATAAACTTAATACATCACATAAAAAAAAGGAAAGACAAAAACCATACGATCATATCAATAGATACGGAAAAAGCATTTGATAAAGTACAGCATCCATTTGTGATACAAACACTCAGCAAAGTGGGAATAAAAGGGGCAAACCTCAACATAATAAAGGCCATATATGAAAACCTACAACCAACATCATACTCTATGGGCAAAAACTAAAACTTTCCCACTAAGATCAGGAACAAGGCAAGGTTGTCCACTTTCACCACTTCTATTCAACATAGTATTGGAAGTCTTAGCCAGAGCGATCAGACAAGAAAAAGAAATAAAAGGCATCCAAATTGGAAAGGAGGAAGTAAAACTATCATTGTTTGCAGATAACATGATAGTGTACAGAGAAAACGCCATAGACTCCACCAAAAAACTACTCGACCTAATAAGTGAATTTGGCAAAACAGCAGGATACAAAGTCAATATTCAGAAATCGAGGGCATTTTTGTACACCAACAATGAAATATCAGAATCAGAAATCAGGAAAAAAAATCGCTATATTTGCTATAGCAACAAGAGAAATAAAGTACCTGGGAATAAACTTAATCAAGGGGGTAAAAGACCTGTACAGAAAACTATACAAAACTGAAGAAAGAAATTAAGGAAGACACAATAAATGGAAGAATATACTGTGTTCATGGACTGAAAGAGTTAACATCCAAATGTCCATACTACCCAAAGCAATTTATGGATTCAACACAATCCCTATTAAAATACCAATGATGTATTTCACAGATATAGAACAAATATTTAAAAAAATTATATGGAGATTAACCTGAAGAACACAAGCACATTTGAATGTTGCAGATACAAATCAGCAGAAATCCTGGTAACTTCATCAAAAACTAAAGAAACCACAACAAATGTATGAGTCACTTGTTTATTATACAAAGGCTTTCACAGATAATTATTTTCTTTTCCTTAATTTGCCTTAGGACACATTATTCACAAAACAGTAAGTTGTTAATGCAAGAGAATCAGATAAAACCAAAAAAGTACAAATGCTCACTCTGAAAAAGTGCACACAGTTAAAATAATTTTTTCTTGTTTGTTTTAATGCAAGATCCAATTTCAAAAATGGGCTTTCTTCAGATGTAAGGAAACACTGCAGCCCAAAATAACAAGACATCCTTGCAACTGTATTGATATGTAAAATAGCACCTTTGGGCTGACTTAAGGAAAGAAAAAAGGTTTTCATCTTTCTTAATTAAAGTGTAAGTCTTACACAATTATTATATCACACCTACAATAATGAGAATCATAAGTTTTAAGAGCTTCACTTTGTTCCAAAATATTCATTGGCAAGGCGAGGAAAGGTAAACAATGTCAGGCCGGTGGAATAATCTTCCCCATCTTAACCCCATGACAGTTAATATGATGATGTCATTGCTCTCTAATGAGCTCATTTTCCAACCCAGGAGTATCTGTTTGAGAGGCAACCAAGGAGGGCCTTTCGCAAAACACGATAAATAAACTATGAGGCCATCTCTCTGGGACCATAATCACTTGTACCAGCAGCTCAGAGTGGGTTTTAATCTGAGGGCATTTTGAAAGGACTCAGTATGTACTAATCTTCACTCGGTGTCTCCATTGCTATACCTCAATCTGATGGGATCATTTCTGTTTTGATTTTTTTTCATTTTGTTTTTATTTGTGTTTGTACTTCCGCTTCATGGCCTTTTGGGTTTCACTTATAAAAAAAGATACTTGAATTTCAATCCTTTGCAATTTAAACTTTGGTCCTATACAATAAAAGTGACAGTTCTTAAAAAACATTAACAGCATAAATATTTATGATGTATGGTATTGATAATACCACAGATTCATCATTATAAAAAGCCAAATTTCAACTGAAATTGAAGAATGAACTATAAGCCCATTCTTCAATTTCAGTCCTTTGTCTCAACTCCATTTTACTTCTTATATGAGCAGGGAAACATGCTTCAAAAAAAATCATCATTCTGGATAGCAGATTTTCTTTTTGAAGGATATATCCAGTCCACAAAAGCCAAATCTTTTCACGGAAAGGGCAAATGTACCATTGCTACACAGAACATAAGAAAATAATCAGCATTTGGTTTTAAGTACACATAGTTATTTAGATTGAACCATAACAGCCATTGCAGAAAAACTTTTTAAAAGATTTACATTCAGGAGTTCATGGTTTTAAAAAAGGTCAGAAAAATGGCAGAATAAAATGTAGCCTTTTAGCCTGCTAGAGAGCTATATTATTTCTTCATTTAAAAAAAAAGTCAAAATTTCTGTACAAGTTAATTTTGAGAATTTAGGTGTGGTTTTAAAACACTCTGTCCATCTTTTAACATTCATACAATAATGCTTATCTTGCCTTTTCATTTTAGAAATGTTAGTGTTAAGGGCAGCCCTTAATACACACAGCCTTATTTTAGCCAATCCTCTTCCCACTGTGAAATGAGCTATGCACTCACCTCTCTTCTTAGGTTTGCACAGAATTTAAATGGTATTTTTGGTGGTAATAATCCTTTTCCCTCCAGAGCAAACAGAAGAGAAATTGTTTCTTTTGTTTGGTGGTGACTAGCTCTCTCCCCACCCCAGAATATTTATAAACAGCATCTTGCCATTGCTAAACCATGGGAAAAATGGATTAGTAAAAAGCTTAGAAAAATCAAGAGTTACATTGAATCAAGGGTAATCCTTTGGGTGATGGGCCACAGCGTTCAATTTAAGTTTCATGATTTTTATTACACCTCTTATGTCCCTATTTGTACAGGACTTTTGGTCCAGTTACCTCAATTTTATTACCCTTGGGCCTTTATTCCACATCCCTACAATAAGTTTTAAGGAAGATGAGTTATAAACCTTTTGTTTCCTGACCGAAAACATTTTTCTCATGTATATACATGAACACACACACATGCCACACACACATACAGAGTGGACATTGTTTCCCTTTTCATTTCTAGGAATCAGGACTTTCTTGAACTCAATGTCAGCACTAATATTCATGTCATCTTTCTCATTAAAAGGTTCTTTCTTTCCCCCTTTTCCCATGGCAGTCTGTGAGGAACAAGCACATGGAGAGTCAGAAAGTGCGCCAATGCGGTACCCAGACTTGGGCAACGCCATACCCATGCTTTGGTTCTCACGGCCGTCACGGGTGCCTTCTCACAATAATAAATATGACAGCTCACAAAAATAAATCACCTTTTTAAAAGTAAAACATCTTTCTCTGACAGGCCACTATATCTATAGTCATTAATCTAGCTCACTGCAATATCATTCACGCTTCAGTTTTACATGAATATGCAAAGAACACAATAATCAACTGAACTGTCAAACCTAAACAACCCAATTTATTACTTAGCACAGAATCTGTTGAATGCTTTTGCTTCCCAGCTGAGCAAGGGGAATACTGTCAACTTTTACAAATAGAGTGTAAATGCTAAGCTACTCATCTGTCAGGTTGACACCTTATATGGATTTTTTTTAAAAAGCCTTACACATTTGACATTAACAAAATATGTAACCTTTATTTCCCCTATCATAAGCGTTTCTTCGTAGCAAACAAGTGACTTTCAGAACATTGCCACAGGCAGACTGCTTTATCTTTCTATACTTTTTTTTTTTTTATCTTTTAGTGACTTCATCTAACTCTTCAACCAGGCTATTTAATTTGATTAATTTAGCGCTTTGTAAAATTATAACATTTGTGAGACTTTGAATAATAGGATGAATTAAGCTGCTGTTTTGAAATATTCAACTGTTGGATGAATCAGAGGCTCTGTCTCCAATGTAGGGCTAGGCTGGCCAATGTGGTTAATTCAAATTGAGATACGCTTGTAAGGGTAAAATACATACTGGATTTTGAAGACTTGGTTCATAAAAAAATTTACATTATATCAATAGTTTTTGATATTGATGACATGTTGAAATAACCTGACTATAGTGTTAAATAAAATATATTATTAAAATTAATTTCACCTTTTTATTTTAAAGTTTTCTAAAGGAGCTACTGGGAAATTTAAAATTTACATATTTGGCCTGCATATGTAGCTTACAATATATTTCTGTGAGACAACACTGTTTCAGAGGGTCCAGATAAAATATGTAACCTGATAGCTGATTTCAACTTCTGTCAATTAACAGAGCCAATTAAATCCCCCAAAATCTCAAAATCTTTCATGATTTATGTATAATTGCAAGTATTAATATCTTCAAATGTGTATTGCATCTTTTTAAAAATCATGCATCTCAAAACAACTGGATTGCACTACAGCCATCAAAATAATATTATCTGTAAAAGTGTGACTATCAAACGATGCATCCTCCAAGTGTGCTTCTGGTGGGCCTTACGGATAATGCGAGCAATTTCAAGCTTACAACCAACCGCGTGTGTTATTTCCAGATGAGATAGTTAACACTACGAAACCTTAGAAGAAAGACATCGCGATTCAAGTCTGTACTCTGACTTCCCCTGCTGCCGTGAAGACTCATGTGTCCACGCAATCTGATGATGAACGCCGCCTAAAAGCGTCCCTTGGTCTGGCGGTCTTTGATTGTTTTAGAAACTCCTCTTCAGCCAACTTTTACGTATCACACTTCAGACCCTGCTTCATGGGATCCTGGTCATTTGGTGTCTTTTCCTCCTTTTTGAGCGAAGTAAGGAAAACTGAGTCAGGAGGAGAGCGGGGAGAAGATAAGGAAGAGTGAGTGATTCGGGACCGTTTCTGTCATTTGTAGTGGCTGAGGACTAGAAAGACACTCTTCCGTGAAGGGAGGCCCACCCGGTCCTGTCACACGGGGATGACTTCGGGGGGGCTGCCTTCCGCGGAGGGCAGTGAGCTCGTGCCCGTCTGCAGCACGGGCACGACGACAGCATCCTTGAGGTCCGTGTTGACGGCGCACGAGCAGCTCTTCTCCTGCTTTTTGGCAGTGTCCGGGCAATTCTGCACAAAGATCACGCGGTTGTAGGCCTTCAGCCTGCGCCACAGCTGGACGTAGGCTTTGCACTGTACGTACATGAAGACGAGACCTCCTGTGAAGCCGATGGCCACCACAACCAGTTTCGTCCAAAAGGGCCATTCAAGGACACCTTTGGAAAAAAAAGGGGGGGGGGCAAGAATGTTATCACCACGGTGTTATCTATGGGGTCGGTAATTTTTTTCTTTATGACTCCTTCAAAAGACCATGCCTGCCTGCTAAATTTTGTAGGTAAGGGATATATTGCTGTATAAATGTAAAATTTCATGAGTAAGAGTTATAACCTGAATTACTTAATTGCTTTCAGGTATTCTAAAGGTGTTAATATTGTATACGAAGAAAGTCTCTTACCTACCACTATGATGATAGCTCATATTTCTCCACCTAGAATCAAGTACCTACTATGATTATTAGATATGACATAGATTTTTAATACTTTGATATCCCTTGTAGTTAAATCTTTAAGGAAGGATAGTGAACATACTGAGTGAAAGAATCAGAATTTAAAATCCTTTTAACAAGGGAAAGTAATAAGCAGGTGTGTAAGATTGTCCATATAAGTCTGCCTCCCCATCCTCATTCCCTTAAAAAAGTGAGAAAGAAGCGACCCCATCTCACCAGAGAATTCCTGAGTATAGACATGCATAAGTTTAAGGGTTGCACTCATTTTAGTCAAAATTTAGTCAAATTTTATATTTTGTTACTGAAACCACAACTTTTTTCCAATATAGCCAAAATAGTGTTGCCTAAATATATATTATCAATGTAAAAATTATTAATGTTTATTATATAGCAAAAGATAACTGATACATCCCTTAAAAATGGAGCTAATACTAGTATTTATCTCTTAGGATTTTTAGTGTGGATTGAATGAATTAATGGTTCTTGACACATATTGCTACAAGAATGTAAATTGTTGTTATTGTTGCTATCTGAGTGATTTACCATTACCTTGCCATGAATAATGCACTTCCGTGTATAATGCACACTCACATTTTGGGCCCAAACTTTCAGGAAAAAAATCTTTTGTTTTAATTTTTTAATTTTATTTTTTATTTATATTTAGAAACAAAACTGATTATCATATTCCAGGACATTATTTTGCATTCGGATATTGTTACTGCTTTCTAGAGCTACACTTTTAATGCATAAACATAAATAAAAATTTAAAATATTTATATAAATACAAAATTAGTACTACCCATGTATAATGCGCACCCTTATTTTTCCCTCAAAACCTTGGGCAAAAAAGTGTGCATTATACATGGCAAGATACAGTAAATGCTTCACGTCTTTGCCTTAACGGGTTGTAGATTAAGAGCAAAGCTTTCACTGGAGCCCATACTAAGACCTCTTTAACTTCACTGGGCTTCAACCTTTGGCTGTCCTTCCTGGATGCTCGGCAATGACAACCAGGAACCCTGGCTAGGGTGAAGCCTGGTTAGCAGCCAGCCCAGCCTCTGGCGTTTTGTCTGTGCTAAACCTCCTCACCCTGTGCCCCTGGGCATCCCTTGCAGTTCTAACTCCCTTCTTGGGATGAGCTGAGAAATCTCACCAGAAGTTAACTACAACAAAAGGTCCTGAAATGTTTAAGTGGCAACTCTGTGTGTAGCATTTGTTTGGAAACACTTAACGCCAGACTTTCAGATCACTGCGCCAATGGCTTGCAAGCTGGGGTCCACCCTCCGGCCCCTTTCAGACTCATCTCCTTTCCAGCAATATTGTTTCTCTGAAAATATATTCTATTGGTAATAGAATAGGGTCCCCACACCTCTCCATTGGAGGTATGTGTACTAAGTCACCTGTCTTGCCTGTTTACTTTTTTAAGTTCAATTGGGTAAGCCACAAACTCTCATGTGGGTGTTTATAATATATCTACAGATATGGAGGCATATCACCAATTGCCTCATCTTTGAAACAGTGATCTCTAAGATCTCTTCCAGATTTTGAATTCAAATTCTCTGCATATTCTGCATATCTTATGTAGAAGGCCATGTGACTGGACAGGGATAGTGTATACTTAACAAATACAAAAAGTAATTGTTAAGTTTGGATCTTTTTGGCTGGGCGCTTAGGTTATGCAGAATTATAAAATGTGCTTATATCAATGGTGTGTATGAGTGGTAGAATTGGGTGGTGGTTTTCTCCTTTGCATTTATCCTGGTTGCTTCTCTTCACTTGGTATATTATTTAAAAAAAAGTTTCACATATTTACAACCTTTTTCTGAACTTGTTTTAATGGTGAACTTCACTGTGAGTAACTAGGTTTGCTATGTGCAATATTGTCTACACACGATGTTTCAGTTTATCTGATGCAAGGTCAAGTTCATGGTATCGTTGAAAGATGAAACATAAGAAATTTTGGAGAGTATTCAGTCCAACTTAGTTTTACAGATGAGGACATTGAGCTTCAGAGTGATTAATTATTTTGTTTACAATAACTACCCAGTAATCAAGGCAGAACTAGAGCCCCGGCTTCTGACAACCAGCCCAAATCAGTGTTGATCGTACAATATCTGGACTGTTAACAATAGCAGCACACATGATTAATTTTAAAAGGAATAGTTTAAACAAAAATTCTGAAAAGGAAAATATTGTATGGATTGCTGGGAAGTGATTTTTAACACATACTCTAAACAGATGGTTAGAGCCACGGTTCTTATCTGCCGGGCTCAGCCACGGTCAGCAATGATGTTGGAGCCTCTGCTAACCCCGAGCGCTCTCTGAACAATGAATCATAGCCCCTGCCTTGGAGACACATAGAGGCTTACAAGAGAATCAGTCATGGGGGAAACAATCAATTGGTTATGCTAGTCTCAAGATGTATACACTTAAATAGTTCTGGGGCAATGTTAAAATCTGTACCTAGAGTCTTTTTAATAGATAGTATAAAACTGTAATTTTTTTTGGTCTGTGTTTTTGTGTTTTGTTTTCAACACACAAATATAGTATACTGGAACATTCTTCTAGAATGTGTGAAGAGAAGGCGCAAAGAGCAATTTCTCCCAAATTACAGTTTGCAGTATGGGTGATTCAGGATGTTAAAGTTTCAAGTACCATGTTTCTTTTTTCTTTTTTCTTTTTCTTTTTCTTTCTTTCTCCCCCCTTCACAGGTGACAAGAATAAAGAAGTGAGGTGAGAGAGCTATCTGGGGCATCACACATATTTAATCTGAAAGAGCAACCATTTAAAAACACAAATGTTGTTTTTTTTTTCCTCCCCCTTCAGGATAGTTATAACAGTTCAAAAGATTTGCTGTTTTATAGTCAACCTCAGTTCTGGTTGAAGAAGGACAACTTGTTCCTATTCAGATATTTTTAAAGGTTTTCAAGATGGAATGAAAATATGTTGACTTTGAAACAATTCAGTTTTTTTCCCCCAAAGAGCTTTGCAAGTAGATTCAGGGTCAGCACTTGAAGTCCCAGTGCCAAAGGAAGATGAAAACAATAACAGCTCACACAGATGACCACCTACCTGTGCTTTGGGAAGTCAGATTTTAAATACAATTTAAACATAAGTACACAGGACACCATTCGCAGAAACCACTGCGGTTTCCATTTGAAACTGGCTGAGTTAGGGGCAGTCCCAATGGCAAGTGGCTCTGGAGAAATAGCTATGGGCACTGCTTCTTTCTAATTAGCTTGCTCTTTCATTCAAAAGTTCTGAGCACCAAAGATAAAAGTTTTCTAATTTTCACTTGCTTTTAAGAAACTGAAAATAAATTTTTAAAAGTATATGGCAGAAAGCTGACTCGACCATATACATATGTTTGTGGAAGCTGAACTTTGGTTATCATTCAAGCTTCTCTCCTGGGAAATCTGACTAAGGGTCCCGGCTGACAGTCCATGAAGAGACTGTTTTCTGAAATTCTGCATCCGCCCAGAATGGAGAAAGAAAAAAAAATTTCTTTGAAGAAAATACGTAAAAGAAAGATTAACGATGGGGAAGCCTGGGTATGAGGCATTCACACTTAGACATTGCTTCTGCAGCACTAGCCGGGCCACCAGAACCCGGACGCAGCACCCAGCACCTGAGGTGTACTGGGGAGCAAGACAGAGGCCCCTGCACTTGCTCTGAGCTCCGAGGCTGTGAGTGGGGGAGACAGAGAGTGGAACGAGCCACTACAATAACGCGTCCTGATAGGCGGCAGAGCTTCTCAGCATGGATGCACAAGAGAGTCTCTCAGGGATAATAAAATCTAAACCTTTGGGGATAAAACAGAGGCCCTGTAGTGGCGCCTCTACATAGGAACTTCCCAGGTAATTCCAATTAGGCAATCAAGGTGGAGTAAGGAGCGAGAGAGGAGGGGTAAGGGCATGTTGCTATGGGAGTGCCTGGTTCTCCATGTGTGGAGGACATCACAGTCACTTGGCTTCTTAAGCACTAATTGCTGGGCTCCATCCTCAGAATTTCTGATTCATGGGTCTGGGGTGGGGAGGGGCCAAAATCTGCATTTCTTTAACAAGTGTCCAGGAGATGCTGATGCTCTTATTCCAGGGAACACGTTTTGAGAACCACTGCGTAGTAACGATGATTCTAGTGTAGGGAGCTGCACTAGGTTTCCCAGAGGGAGTGAAGGTTACGGTGAACTGCCAAGGCTGAGTGGGGTTAGGGCGCGGAGAGCAGTGTGTTAGAGTGTGGTGGTGGGCAGGAGAAACTGGAAGGACGTGTTTCCTGCACAGAGCAAAGCCGAGCAAGGGTCAGGGAGTAGATTTGGGGAGCGGACGAATGTTCAGCCTAATTGCCTATAGCTGGGTCATGGTAGGGCGCTGAGTCCCATTAAAGAGTTGGGGGTATACGAGTATTTGAATAATGGCTAGTTAGGGATAGGATGTGATCGGATTTGTATTTTGTAAGTTTCCTGGGAGCACATTTTTGAGTATGGGTTGAAAGTGGGAAAAACTAGACAAAGTCTAGTTAAGAAGCTATTGCAGTTTTCAAGTTAAAGGTACAATAGCTGGCACATGGATGGTGGCAGTGGGGAAGGAGAGACCCGGGCAGATTCCAGAGGTATATGGGGCAGAATATATAGGACTTGGTGATTGACTTAAGGTAGAAGTGAGGGAAAGGGAAGAGATGAGGAATGAAAACTGGATTGGATTTGGTTACTGGGTGTTAGTAAAGCCTTTCCCACAGGTGTTAGAGTGGGAAGTGGTAGTAGATGATGCGTCTGGACACACTCAATTTGGTGCCTGGAAAACCTTTAAACAGAGACATTGAAGAGGTAGGTAGATCCATGATGGGAGTTCAGTATGTGCTAGGGAGAAATTTGGAGGGTCATCTGCATAGAAATGACAACTGAAGACATAAGGATCTCCACGGGGACCAGAGAATGAGTAGGCAGAGTGAGATAAATGGAAGGAAACAGGGGGCCATGGGTTTCCTGGGTTCTGGATTGAGACTCCCAAGTTCATTAATCACTATCCACTCCACTCCCATGTCTCCGAAGTGACATTGAGTAAATGAATGTAAGAGGGGGGTTCTGACCTGTCTATGAATGAATGCCATATGGGATTACTTCTTGCTGTGTCTAGGAGAGGTGCCCTTCGTTGTTCCCTCTCACGTGGCGGAGGGAGGACAGGAAGAGCCCAGCAGACTAGGGCAGCTGCAGCAAGTCAGGGCGACCACTGGGGCAAACGTACAGTTCTCAAAACACTGGACTCCAAGCTAGACATCTACAAACGTCAGGTCCCTGGCTATCATGCCTGCCCTCGATTGCTAGGAAAGCACTGGAGCCGCGAGGCCGCACGTCGGGGTTGGGAAGGTGGGGCTGGCAGTGGAATGCCTCTGTTTTTCCATAGATGCACAATGCCGTGTTTCTGGCACATTTTCTGGGACTTGGCTTGGGCCAGTACCTGTAAATATAGGGGACATGGATTTAAAAAAAAAAAAATTCCTACCCTCTAGGAAATTACTTCCTACAGCATCTCAGGAACAATGCATAATGTAGTTTGATACAAATTGAATAAAAATGAGTTAGGATTGAACAACAACAACAAAAAACCCCCAACAAAACCTCACCCTACCTGTGTTTCCAGCCACCGTGCTTTCATTCTTATTCAAAAGACGACGTTGGGATCGGTAACTCGGTCGCCACCCCTCACCTGGATTTCCCTCCGCGCTACAACTACTGTAAAGCACTTCGCAGTCAGCGCCTCAGGCAAGTCCTCCCAGTCCCTTTAACGGGCCCCGCCCCGCCCCGCCCCGCCCGTTTCTGGAACGGCCGGGAGAGCACAGAAGGGCGCGCGCTGCTGCCACCAGGAGGGCAAGTGTGAGAATGCAACATCCTGCCCTCCTGTTTTTATAAAACACAGGAAACAGGAGCAACAAAGTTTTCCCTTTAATTTTTTCCACTTTTTCCTTCTTTTCCTCACTTCTTTCTCATTTATTCTGTTTGAGGAAGGTGCATAAACATTTTCACAACACTGTAAACATACAGTGTTATTACCTGAACAATTTCTCCTATCAAATTCACCAGCGGTGTAATATTGTTTCCTGCCCAACCCCCTACCCGCTCACCGCGAATAGGGTGGGGCTATGGGAATATTTCTCACTATTTTACCAGCTATGACTGAGCATGTATGGCCTGGCAAGAAAGAGAGAGGGTGCCTTCAGAAGTGAAGATAATTTTAAACGACCTATCCATTTTAAACGTTAGAATGTGCCTTAATGATTGTTAAACATCCTTCTCTGCAGACTTCACAATCAAACCTAGTATGTTTAAAATTTCACACCATAGCGTTAATCCACTCCATCACATTGTACAGTATTAACAAGCTATAACAGTCTCTACTAGAGGATCATCTTATTCATGTTTTAAAAGAAGCAATGACTACGGTGGATTAAATAAAAACCTTCCGTTTTTACAACTGTTTGCCTCTACACATCAGGAAGAACCTGATCCTTATTCTGCTCCGGAAAAGTCGGGAGCAGTGGATGACACACGGGCATTTTTCCCTTCTAAGATTTACATGGACTTGATTAATCTCACATCTCAGCTTGGGATCCCATATATCGAACGCTTCACAGTCAGAGTAGTGATCAGCTGCATAATGGGAGAAGACTCAGTTTCCAGTACTAATTTCTGCTAGTGTTTCATTCATGAAGATCTAAACTGGGGAAATGGTTTTCCTACTCAGCTCTGGGTATCGTCATAGAACTCGAGAGAGGAAAAAAAGAAGAGAGACACACTCTTACCGTTATCATTGCCTTGCTTGATTTCTTCCGCCGTCCGATCTATTAATACATACAAAGACCAAACCACGCAGGTGATGGCGATGACGTGGAATGTGACGGAGCAGAATATTTTCCTCCTTTCGCTCGTGGTCATCTGTAGTTTCTCCCACTGCAATCACAAACAAATCACACAAATCTGCATTTCCAACTAGGAAATTCTGCTCCCCATTTATATCCCACACACAGATCAGAAATGGAGGGAAAACAGTAAATATTTGCCATACCAGAGGACACTATAATGTTGAAATAACTCTTCATGTTTAGAAAGATTTGAAATCATAACCCGTGGCATGAAAGATGTGAATAAATGTTAAAATGAAAATGATATTTTCCTATTCTCCAGATGAATTACCGGTAAATCGTCATTTCTGTTTTGCTAGCCTATAGTTTTCTTGTCTGTAACATAAACAGGATAGGGGTAATAGTGCACAATTTTTAGAAAGCATTTCCTTTCAGGTTTCTGCATATCACTTCTTTGTGATACTAGGTTATAAGTAGTAATACGTAATTTCTTCTTGGATGAATACATAGCTTGATCTAGTGCTGCCTTTCTGAATGTACAAATCTAACAAAGTATTTAAATGGCTGGATGATATCTGTGAGAGAAAGTCAACATGGGTTTACAACTCTTCTTCCAGGAAACACTCATTTTATTATCTGGGCAATGAGCTAAGCTTTTAAGGACCTATCATTCTTACATTCTTTACTTAACTATGCTCATGCTAAAGCAAAACTTTAGAACTTTGAAGACCCCACCCCACTCCCATGTACAATTCCATAAACAAGCAAAAACAAGAGGGCATAAATTATGCCCCCCAAAGTCCTGGCTCTGTGACATTGGCAAAGTCCTTTAATTTTTCTGGGACTACTTGCTTCATCATAAGATGCAAATTGTGGCCGAGGCTGTGACAGAGAGCTTTGGAAGAGGTTGCCATTCTTTTCTTCCTTTATTAACAGATTTAGTAATTCTATGAGGGTTGGCATTATGCCCAGTGAAAAGCTGCTTCCCAGCCTTCCTTGGCAGAGGAGGACACTGGCTGTCTTCCAGCAATGAGATATAAGTGGCTATCTACTGGGATCTCGAGATTTTGCCATTGTGACACAGGAATTGTCCCTTCCTCCTTTCCTTCATTCTCTTTTCTTTGCTACCTGGAATTTATAACTGACAGTAAGAGTCCTTACAGCCATCTTGCAACCTCCAGGAAAAGTCTTGAGAACTGGAGAGACCTGAGCCCAATTAGCAGCAGCACCTCCAGGTGCCACTTACATGCAAGGAAAATAACGCCCAGCCTGATGAAGCCACATGTCTCAGGACTCTGCTACTTGCTATCAAATACGAGTCCTGGTCGATGACTCAGAGAGAGAACCCCTCAACTTCCCTTCCAGTTTGATGATAAGATTCTATGACTTCATTTGGAAGGGAATACAATATGTCAAGTCTGATTATGATGCTGCAGAGCTTCTTAAACATTTTAGGAAAATAAATGTTTTATTGCAAACATTATCCATTTTTCTCCTTTTACTGGCCAATCATCACACAGTTTTCTTTATAAAGGTTTGTTAGAGCAAATGAAAAATTCACACTTCATCTTGTAATTTCTTTTTCATCAAACTATATTTTACATAGTATTTTAAGTAAATAATGGAGAGCTCTCAGTGATGTGGCTAAGGGAAACCACATCAATCTAGAATCTGTATTTAATTAAACTGATAATAAATTGAGAAGATTTTAATTTGTATATCCTGGCTTTTATCAAAACTTCACATATATGTGAAAGCCTGCTTTTTAAAATTTTGTTTTGTTATTGATGTAATGTCAATCTCACAAATCTATATAATTATAGAGTAGAATATCATCATTTGGTTATAGCATTTTGTGATTTAATAACCATTTCTTGAATTACCTCAATATTCAATATGACCAAATAAAAATGCAGGATAGTATAAAAGAGCAGTTTTACATGTTCCAATTTTCTAAATGTCTGCAGTGGGTGAGAATACCTGCAGTAACAAATGTTCATAGCACCTCAGCCCTCAATTTTACAACTGACTTTAGGAAAGAAAAAAAAAACGCTTAAAATTGGGTCTTGTAAATCTGAGGAGCATTTTGATGCAGTGGCTGAAATACATTCTTCTGAATTAATGAGCCTCAAATAGAAAAGTATCAGCAGGGCTGACAAGGATGGATCAAATCCTGTAAAGACTCCTAGTTCCAGGCAATAGAAATTCTGAAGTTGTCACACTTCCTAATCTCAGGAGTATTTATAAAAAAGTGAAGCGTGAAGGGACCATCCAACATTCCTTCTTTCCTTTACAAATCCTTACAGGGACTATTCAGGAATTCACTGGTGAGAACACACGTAAATGTGGTACCATGGCGCCCTCTGCCGCATAATCACATTACTGTATACAATCGTCAGCACAAGGCGCCGTCAGAAATCAATGTATTTTTATAAAATGTTCATTCACATCCTTGCATTTTCAGGTTTATATACAAAATGTGAACAAGTTTTACAATCCTACACAGTAAGGAATATATTGATAACCTTATTTTAATAAAGCTACCATGAAGGGGCCTTAGTTTAATATTGGGGATGCTGACATTAAATACCAGTTAACCAAAGATTTCGTGATAGCAAAGTGATAATACGCACATAAGTATTTGTACTCCCCTGCCGAGTTTTATAAAATAATGTGGGCTAATATTTACTGTTGTGACCCCGCCAGAAGGCGGCATTAGAGAGGTATTGGAGCACCTCATTGGGTGCGGGCAGCATTACTGTCAGCATCACCTGGCACCGGTTAGAGATGCTGATTTTCCCGCTCCGCGTTGCAAGGGCGCTCTGCGGCTCTGCCCTGCGGTGGGCGAAGCATGGCTCTCTGCCAGCGAAGCAACGTGATGTTCGCCTTGCCACCCGCAGGGCGCCAGGGCCACTGCCTTTCCGGTTTAGGTTATTTCTGAGTCAAACACTCACCCTCAGATCTCTATTTTAAGGTAACACGTCTCTCCAAGTGGTCTCAATGAAGTTGGTGGAAAAGCTAAAAACTGAGCAGCAAGAGGAGGCCACGCAGCAGAGCGCACCCCCCAGCCCTCGACAACCCTTCACAAACAACTCCCCATCTGCCCCCGCCAGTCAGTCATCGAGTTGTCCAGTTCTCTTTCATGCCTTCACAATGGCGCATAAGCTGAGGTGGGCCAGGCCAGCTCTACAAAATCTTATCTCCCAAGGAAGCGGTCTTGGAACTTGCTTTAGGCTTTATAATTGTCGAGTCTTTGGTACCAGCTTCATTGTTCTTTGAAGAAACATTGTTCTTTGGTCCCTTGCAGAAACCCCTCAATAGCAGGAAGAATTGAACAGAACTGTTTTTCACTTAGAAATATGCTACTGGTGATTACAGAATAGTCTCAGAGATGTAAATTGCAGCATAGGGAATACAATCAATAATATTGTAATAAATATGTATGGGGTAGGTGGGCACTTGAAATATCAGGGGGACCACTCTGTAAAGCACATGATTGTCTAACCACTATGCTGTGCATCTGAAACTAATACAGAATAATGTTGAACGTAAACCTATTGGAAAAAAAAACAAAAACATGCTACCGAATTTTCCTAAAAAGATTTCCACATTGGAGGATAAATTAATGCAAACAGTGTTTCAGTGAAATCTTGCATTTGCTCTAGCTAAATCAAATGGTGCAGGTTTTCTAATATACATTACTTTTATTTATATTCTGTCCTAAAATATAAATTCAAAAATACTGCCTAATGAGAATGCTTTTTAAATCTTTGTACTAGTGAAGACTAAAGGCAGTTTCTTTCCACAATATCAAAATATACGAGATAGGGGCTGCATAACTACATCCATTTTCTTTTCTTCCCGACATTTCCACTATATTTTCCAACGTTGTCAACAGAAAAAAAGAGAATCACCTGCAAATCTCCGTAGTTCTAGAGCAAACAACTACCACCAGGTGGAGCCAAGCCCAAACTGTTGTTATTTCAAGGATCATTGTTTGGTTGTTTTTTCAAGTAAAACCAGACCCAGAAACTCCCAGCCTACCAGCTTCCCAGGCTCCTCCTGGTCATTTCATCAGGGTAGCATACATGAAAAACCACATTTTTACTGTTTAAAAGTTTCTCTCCCTCTCTGCTTATTATATTATTGTGGAGTTTTATTGCATATGAGTGACAATAATACTGAGATTATCAAGTCTAAAATTTATTTCATTATCTACATGCTTAAGTAAACTATACTGTGCGGGAGGATCGCAAGTGAATCCTGCAAAAATTCTGGGGCTTAGAAAATTGATGAAGTTTCTAGAGGGCCCATTGGTCTGGGGCAGTGGTTCTTAGAGAGTTCTCGAGAAGCTTAGGCATCACCGTGGGTCTTGTCAGCGTTAATTAATTAAAGAAGGCATCCATTTGGCTGAGGTGGCTCTAATACTGAGGTGGCCTCCAGCCTACACAAGCAAACAAAAATCTAAGCTTGTTAATGCCTAGAGGTTGGGAAATCAAAACCGAAGAAGAACCAATCACAAACAGCTAAGTGTAAGCGGTAGCCGATACAATAATTTCCTGCCTTTGCCTCTGTACGTTTTTTTTTTTTTGTTTTTGTTTTTGTTTTGTTTTGGGGGGGTACAGTGAACTTTATTGATGGTGCATGACAGGGCAGGGCTCCTTAAGCCCCTCCCCTCCTCAGGGGGTCCAGGATGGAAACAAGATCAGGAGATTCTCAGTGTGTTGGGGGATCGATTTGGGGCAAGGACTCCCCAGCAGCTGAGGGTCTCTCTTCCTGTCGCTGGGGCTGGTGGTTCAGGGGGCTCTTACTCCTTGGAGGCCATGTGGACCACAAGGTCGACCACCCTGTTGCTGTAGCCAAATTCATTGTCATACCAGGAAATGAGCTTGACAAAGTGGTCATTGAGGGCAATGCCAGCCCCAGCATCGAAGGTGGAGGAGTGGGTGTCACTGTTAAAGTCGCAGGAGACAACCTGGTCCTCAGTGTAGCCCAGGATGCCCTTGAGGGGGCCCTCTGATGCCTACTTCACTACCTTCTTGATGTCATTGTATTTGGCAGTTTTCTCTAGGCGGCAGGTCAGATCCA